CCCCCCCCAAGCCTTGAAATCCTTCATAATGTGATCAGGGTTGCCCCTGGCTGCGTCATTCGTCCCCACGTGGATGACAACCATGGGGTACTGGTCTGCAGGTTGGATGTAGGCTGGGATCCTCTCCGTGATGTCCCTAACCTGAGCCCCAGGCATGAAGCAGACCTCTCGTGTCATGGGTTCAGGCCAGCAGGTGGGACATTCCAGTCCTCATAGGATGGAGTCTCCGATGACGAGGACCCAGCATTTCTTCCTGCTGGTGTTCGCTCTCTGCCCATTCTTTGTCATGTGGGGAGTGGCATCGTCCCCGCTGGAGCCAATTTCTTGGTCTTTCTCCAACACAGCTGCCAGGGCATTGAACCTGGGGAGCTTCCACCACTCTAGGCCTAGCAGCTCTCGATTTGGACACCTTCTGCAACTCCTGCGTTGGATGCGTCTCCTGTGGGGGCTGTACAGTGGGCAACTAGGCCTGCAGAGAACAGAAATAGGCATCAATTTCATCCTTAGGTCCAAGACTTCATGCAGGGAGGAATAAAAGTAATCAAGGGGAAGTAAAGGAGAGCTCTTCTTGGAGCCACTGTAGAACAAGTTCACTAGCACCAGATAAGAAAGATGCACTCCACCTCTGATTACTCAACAGTATTCCTGCTGGTTTAACAAGACTTTTCCTCCTTGAAGGAATATCTTAACAATGCCACATTGTGAGTTGGTTTTCTAATAATGTTCAAAGACTGACACATGCAGTTGAATTTCATTAGTGACCTGAATTGAGATGAGTTAAAGAAAAATGATCAAAATTTCAAAGGTCTGCATTTATGCATGTGCAGCTTCACCCAAGTAAACCAAAAGCAAAAAAATCTGTTCGAGCAGATGCTAGAATCTATCGACTGAACACAAAAGTGTTCAAAAAATTCCCACGCAGGCATTTTTGCACACAAGTTAATCTTTGCCAATTAATATTAGGCGTCATAAGTCCTGGACACCACTTTAATGTGATTTCCCTAAAAGAACATACATAACAGAATTTAGGTAACTGAGGTCAGAGCTATTTATTTAAAGCCTCTGTTGAAAAGTGGATCAATTTATTTTATGCTTATTTTTGTTCTCCAGGGTGCTCTTCCTGCTCTTTCTATATTCACCATAGGATAGTGCTCTATTTTGTGTTCTCTCTACTTATTTTCCTTTATCTTCTTTCTTACCTCATTTCCCCCAATTTTCCTTTCCTTATTCTTTTCTCATCCCTTCACTCTCCTGTACACCTTTTTCTACTTTATTTTCCAAAGTCTTTTGCCTTATGTCATTGCCAACTTGTTGCCTTTGTGGAAGCTGCTCCTCTCCTGGCTCACTGTTACTTCTGTAAGAGCCAGTTCAGTTCAGTGGGAGACCAGCGGCCAGATGGCAGCAGAAGGACACTTTAAAATCTGTGATCCTTCAGTATCCCTGTGCAGAAGGGTGGGCTCCAGAGAACTGAAGTAAGTTGTGCTGTTTATGTTATAGCAGTAAATATTCATGTCAGGGCAGATATGTTTATTTGTACTGTAATCAGTACAGTTTGCCTAAACCTCAAGTATATTGATTCATAATGTGCTTACCAGAGCCATGAGAAATGTTTGCAATGAAAACAGATAGCCTATGAAACTTGCTTAAATGTGTGTGTTTTGTTTCAAAGTCCAATTTCAGACCTGTTTAACTGACAAAGCCACTAAAATTTGTGAACCTGGCACTCTGTATAACTTGGGTTGATCTATGCTTTGATGTTAAAACCTTACAAAAATACACTTCCATGGGATCTTGGCACACACTGAGCTGTCACTTAGCAGCTTCAACTAAGTTCTTGGATTTATTCAAAACCAAAACACAAGAGTTAAACTTGATGGTTGGGATAACAGGCCAAATGCAGACTAAACCTGATGAAAATATTGGCACTGAGGCCTGAGTTCAGAAGAATGCTGGGACACGAGTTTAAGTCTTAGTGACTTACGTAAGTGAGTTAAGTACTATGTTTCCATTTTCCTGAACTGGAGGATTTGTAGAACAATTGCTGCATCTCTCTAATGATTAACTCATTTGAAACTAACATTGAAGTTCATTAAACTATTTTTAATCGGGAACCTTTTAAAAGTTGAAAATCTGTACTAACTGATGAATAGCCAAAACTTGATCCCAGTGAAGTGATCTACTATTGACTTCCTTTCACAGGGAATGTGGCATGCTGCTATGGAAGGAATGGGTAATATTGTAGGAGACACAACCTGACCTCAGGTCTTTGATTAAAAAATACTTTTCAGCTGAGTTAACATTCTTGCAATAATTCCAAGCATATTGCTATTTCTAGCCTGAAAACTAGATTGCACCTTTTTTGGGAGAGAAATGTGTGGATTGTAATGAATAGGATTAATAAAATAACTTTGTCCAGTTTCACTTTGAAATTGTGTACATTATGTTATTATCACTTTCAACACAGGTGGAAATTAATTACTTAACATAATGTTGTCCAAGTTTATTTATTTCTGGCCAGTTAAACCAAGATTGCATGTACATGTATTCTCAGAATTACTCTTTGTTCTCTTTCTATCCCACACAGTCTCCCTTCAAGTATCTGCTGCTCCATCTGTTTTAGACATCTTTTGCTCAAAATGCTTTTACAGTTGTAAAAAGCTCTGTAGGAGGAAGACACAACATCAGCTGTCCCATGATCTACTTTGAATGATGATCATGAATGGTTTGGTCACATACTCTATCTATATGGTTAGATAGAATTCACCTACCCTGTTAAGTATCTCTGTCTTAACTGCAAAAACAAAAGGTTTGTTTTTTTTTAATTGAAATAACTATTGTTGGTGAGTTTTCTTGAGGAAAAGAACCCTGTAAAGAGGCACTTCTATTTTACTATAGGGTAAGCTTGTTGAGGTCAGCACTGTATCTGTACCTGGGTTTTATAGTTTTACCTTGCAGTAAAATGGAAATCTCACACATTTATTACTCCAAGGTAAAAACTGCACCTTATGGCACAGAAGACAAGGACTAACTTGCTTTGTCTAGCACTGCTTAGCTTCAAATTGTTTTGCTGCTAATAAGAAACAGTTTAAGAGAATGGTTCAAACATTAGATCAGATGCTTACCTTGAGTTTACAAGACATCCATTTTGTCAGTGTCCCTCAACTGCAAATTAAACTCAATATTATTATTGAAAAGATCTGTGTTTTAAAAATGGGAAATGAATCAAATATCCTAGTCCCTTAAATGCCTTTTACTTGCACTGCATGAAATGCATCTTCACATAAAGGACCTGATATTCCAAATCATGCATGTGCAATTATGCACATTTTTATGTGCTTTGTTTCAATAGGTGCATGCACCAGGCTTGCATACCACGCATCATTAGAGACCTACTAAAATCACAGTTTCTTTTTTTTTTTTTTTTTTGTTGGAAACTGCAAAAAA